TATGTTCAATGCTGAAACAGTAGCACCATTTCAAGTAATACCAAGTTGGCACTTTTTAGTGGGTATAAATTTATGATGGTTTTTTGTTTGATACTGGACTTAAACTTATGACCACATGCTTGCTAGGCAGGTGCTATACCCCTGAGCTATATCCCTGGGGTCTTTATTATATTCTTAAGTCCATGAAAGCTTTCCTGTTTAGGTATGGATCACTTTTGGTAATTCACATTTTCATAGGAAATCATATCATTCTAGTAGCTCATCAATTACATTTACCTAGAGTTAAAATTATCTTATAATGCTGTGATTTTTCCCACTCACATTTCTTACGTGGCACATACGTACATTCTTCATTGTTAAGCAATATTGTATTCAGTTCTTTTTTTTTTTTTGTCTTTTTCATTTTTATCGGTACCAGGGATCGAACTCAGGACTGCCTGCTTGCAAGGCAGGCGCTTATGCCGCTGAGCTAAATCCCCAGCCCCTTTCTTTCTTTCTTTCTTTTTTTTCTTTTTTTTTGTAATATTGCATTCATTTCAATGTTGGGGGGATCTCAAAGAACTAGCACTTTAGATGTACTGAAACATTGCCTTTGTTTTTAAATTGATGAATTATTGTCTAAAGCTACAGCAAATAAGCTGATCTTACATGTTTGAGCCAGTTATACTTTAGATAAGAACAAAGTTCTCAGATGTTTTAACTTTAACTCTTTCTGGAGTATCACATGATGAGTGTGATGAGGTAAGTGGTTGATGTCTGTCTTCCAAAAATCTTGGGAACCTCTTACGGGTAAGAAATAGATTATGTCTGTTGTGAGATATTTCTCTCTAGTGATTCTGAATTTTTATTATTTGCTCTTTTGTTTGTTTGTTTGGTACCAGGAATCAAACTTTAGACCTCATGCTTTCTAGGAAGGTGCTTATGCCACTGAGCTAAATCCCCTGCCCTGCTCTTTTACTTTAATGTTTAATTTTTCAAGAATTATGGTTCAAAAGGCACACTAAATGTAGTACAAAGATCTATAAATCTTATGCCAAATCTACATGGCATTCCTATTGCTTGTTTGTCTGACTAACTATATTTCTGGAGATTTTTTGTTTAAACACTGAAAATATGAATCCTCAACACAAACTAATCAGAAACAATTGTAACTCTGTAACTAATTTTGAATAATTTCACATTTTAAAACAGCATAATTAGAAGATGTCATGGTTTATGTTTGTGTCCCCCAGGTCTCATGAGTTTGCATTTTTCATTTGCAATGGTTCATTGTATAGTGCTTGGATTGATGGTGTCAGTGCTCCACCCACATAGGGGTGGAGCAAGGATGTGATGTAATGGCAGGAAGAAGGTATGTCTTTCTCTTTGCTGATTTGAGCTTGCTGTTGGCAGCCGCCATGAATGGCGGTCCAGCCATGCCCGCCTGTCTTGGAGCCAACTGAGTGTGGACTGAAACCTCCAAAAACTGTAAGAAATAAACCTTTCCTTTCCCAACTTGGGCATCAGGTATTTTGTCTCAGCGATGAGTAAAAAGTAACTAAGACAGAAGAACAAGATTGCTCTCCTTCCTTTCTCTTAGTTTTTTCCTTACTTTGTACTGTCTTCAGTATGATTAAAGAATGATTTACCAAAATAAAGAAAAATTACATTGTTTCTATAAAACAAAGGTATTTTACTCCTAAACATCTTTTAGTCTGATAAAAGCACTACATATTCCTATAAACAGTTTAAGCAAAAAAAATAATAAACATAGTACATTCTCTTCATAGTTTGAAATTCCTTGGACTTCAGATGTGTGTATATATTTATAAGATATACATAAATATATTGTACTGATAAAGATCGGTTATAACATGATTGATGACTAGTGAAAAAGGAGGCTAGAAAACAGGGCCCCTTTTTACATTCAGTGACCCATTTTTCTAAGTCTGGAACACTGAATGACAGCTGTCATGCGGATACATTTCTCATTTTCTTTTGACAATAAAGAGTAAATGTGGGGGGCTTTCCAATTCTCATTTCTTGATCACTACACATTATAGCCACACCCCTTGACTTTCTGTTTTTCAACTGCTTCAAACCTGTCAGGATATTTCTGCTTGGTAGCTATCTTCTACCTCATTTGATAACCCATCTCATTAAAAAGTACTACAAAGGGCTCATATTTATTTTTTGAAGATGGCTCATAAAGCCATGATTCAAATCTCTGAATGCACTCACTAATATTTCATAACAGTTATTATCCATAGGCTCTTTAATATTCCAATATTGTCTCCATGTGCTCAGCCATCTATCATTTGATGAAATGCTATCTTTTTTTCTGACAAATTTCAAATATCTGTGAAGCTATCTAATGCACAGGCACAGACTGTCTGTGTGACCTTGGACAATCTTATTATGTTTCCTGAATATATAAACCAATGGAACAGGAAACATTGTAATATAGATCACTTAACAAAAATACGTAATTAGAATTTGTGAAATAGGTTAAATTTCTTAGCCCAAGTTTTTACTATTTTGGAGACTTTAATCGTGTTTTGGATATACATACCTCTTATAGGATGTTAGGAAGCAAACACTGTCTCCTCCGATATTGCTGTTCTATTTCTCTACAGACTTATGTATGATAATTCATAAATATGAGGCAAGGAATCCTTTCAGCAACCACTTTACTATGTAGGTTTGGTCTGAGCCTTTCTTTTAGCTGAGCTGTCCTGATAGTTACACTGCCTGGGCTACTACAGAATTCCTACGTTTTTGCCTGCATCATTTCTGCTGAGTTGGCCTTGTCTGCATTCAAAGCCAGCTGCCTAATGTTATTTTTGTTTCTGGAGTTGCACTTGATGAATCAGCCAGGATACGAGCATCTTCCTTCTTCATTCTCTGCAATGTTTTGTTCTTTGACAATGGAGCGTTTGCTTTTAAATTTCTAAACCCTGAGATTTATAGCCTCTCCTACGTCACCTCTATGTGCCAGCAGTAAATTGGCATCTACTTAGCCAATGCCACCATCTCTTATGGAGCTTATATATATATCCTGAGCCTGGTGCTTTTGCCCACCTGCAAGTCACCTACTGGCAGGACCAAAGCAGAATTCCTCGTGGCCTCCCCATGCTGGGTTCTCCTTTTGTACTGATGTCTCCAATACCCACCCTCCCTGGATATCTGGGATTCAATTCTTTAGAAGTCTGTAGATCGTAGGATGGAATCTTCTGATTCTTTGTTGTCCTCTGGTCCCTGTGTGAAAGTGAGACTGCACCTTCCAAAAAGGCTTGGTCTGTGGGCATCTAGGATAGCTTCATGGAACCTGTTGCCCTGCTAATGGATGGCTATTAGACAAAGAGTTCTCTGGAGAAATAAATTTAGAAAAGTTTCAGAGAAAGATTATTTGGTTTTTCTTTTTACTACTTAACTAAACTTTAATATACAAATATGCTTGTACACGGTAAGAATGACATGAGTTTTCCAAATGTGCTTATTTTAGAAGCACTTATTTTTTATGCTTTTTAAAGGACTAGCATTCTATTCAATGCATTTGAAGGTGATTTTCAAAGATTACACTAGGAAATCTTGTGGTCTAAGTCATGTTTATAGACTGACTCGATGATTTATAGGAAATATTCTTGGGAAAGTGAATGGAGTAGAAAATCTATTAGTACATAACTAACTCCATCCAAAGAATAGAGCGGATTGCATTTTGATTAGTAAAGAGTTGTTTCCTGCAATGAAGCAGAGTATGCCATCATCTTATCTTTCATTGTAAGAATGTTTCATATACTTACAATGTGGTAGGTACAGTTTGGGGTTGTGGAGTTATAAACATTGAGATCAATTTTGAATGTGTGAGTTTCTCAAAGCATCATACTCATCACATATATTAAAATAATCCAGGGTACGGAATCAAAGTGTTCATTAGCAGGTGAATGGATAAAGAACAGATGGCATATACTCTCAAGGTAAAATTTTCAGCCATTAAAAAACAGAATCCTGTCATTTGCTGCATTGCAGATGCCACTGAATGACTTCATGCTAAGTGACATAAATCAGACACGGAAAAAGCATGCGCACTCATTTGTAGAATGAGTTGATTTTATAGGAGTGGGATAACAATAGTGGCTGCTAGAGGATAAGAGAGGTCACAGGGAAGAAGGATAGCAAGAGATTAGAAACAGGTACCAAAATACATTTAGATAGGGAAAATTAGTTCTACTGTCCTATAGCACAGTAGGGTAAGTGCAGTCTCTACCAATTTATGATATATTTCAAAATAGCTAGAAGAATTCAAAGTTTCCCAAAACATAGAAATGATAAATGTCAGAGGGGATGGAAATTCTAAACACTATGATCTACTCTTTACATACTGCATAACTGTACTGAACTACACAGTATCCCATAAATGTGTACAAAGATTACATCAATTAAACATTTTTGAAAGAGAAGGAACTTGTTAAAATGCATATTCTAAGGATCCAACTCAAATATTCTAATTCGGTAGGCCCAGGATGTTAAATGAGGCATTTTAGAGAATACTTATGTATGTCATCATTTCAGAAATTCTAGCTGGGTTGGTGGTGGAGCTTGTTCCCCAGGTGGCTCCAGTGTAGACTCCAGCTGACTCAGGTGAGGGCTGGCAGGAAATCATGCACACATCTTGTCTCCTTGTGGCAAATGTCCAGAAAACACCTGGTCCATAATAAATGCTCAAAAATATTCTTTCTTTTCTTACTATCGTGTCTTAAAGAAAACATAACAGCTGAGCATGGTGAGGAGTTGCTTACTTTGTATTTCTTATTCCTTATTTTATTTTCGTATGAATTAACCTGTGAGAAGACATGTCTCCAGAGGTAGAAATGATGCCTTCTAGTTTAATTATTTATTTTTAAGATACACTCGGTTATTGATAAAAATTCAAATATCAGTAGAAGCATGGGAGATTTTTCTTCCCACGCTATATAACAATGTAAGTCTACTGGTTTCAGATCTCAGCTCTAGAAACCCCCATCACCACATTTCCTGTTTGTAACTGAACAAATTACACACAAAAGATTTTAAGAAACAACAAAGAAACCCGGGGCACTGATAAAGACCAATTTTAGAGTCATGTTGCTTCTAATGTAACAGAGCAACATTAGTTGGGTGGGTGGTTTTGGGGAGCATTTTTAATCCATCCATTTGCTTTATGGCTACGTAAGGAGCTTTCTGGGGGAAGAAAAGAAGCATGTCAGGTAAGTGGTATTTTTAATTTTTTGTTTTAATCTATGTCCTAAAAATTTACTTAACAATTTCTAAGTTGTAACTAAAAGACACTTAATATTTGAAGAGTAACTTAGCTAGCATAATTATTTTTTAAATGTGAAATAACCTTCGGTATAATTAGTATTTTAAATTCTCTATTGGGAGCAAATTGACTGTTTTCTCTTCAAAGCCAAAAGAAGGTGGACTGTGCTTTGTAACATAAAGCTGTAAGTGTTCATTGATAGCCGTGCCATGCAAAGTACTTGTTATTTTTGAGGAAGCTTTTGTTGACCATGCTTAGCCCTTTTTAGTTTACTTTAAGATATAAAACAGGATAGGAGTAAATGCGTTCTAACTTTAAAAATCAAGATTCTTCTCAGTTTGTTCTGACATTTAAGATCGAAGTTTTAAGGATAAGTGGTGATTTATGTCTTTTCTGTGGAACTATGAGTCCAATCAGTCCAACTGTAACATTCAGAAATGACAGTTTTGAAAAGTTTAGTGAAAATTTAATTGCTTGTCCAATGGATCTTGAGGTTAGATCTACTTCGATTTGCTGTTGAGTCCACATTGATGCTTTAATCCTCTCACATTGTTCATGTACTTTGACTTTCATTAACAAATATCTTTTGATTGTAAGGAAAAAAAACACATGTTAGGTAAAGTAGAAGAACCGTGAAATACACATAAAAGGAAAAATACCTTACATATTTCCTATCACTTCAAAAACACAAAATATGTTTTATTGCCTTCCAATTATTATTTCTGTACATTCTACATAGTTTTATTTTCATAAATGAAATATTAATTTGTGCATCAGTCATGTGTCAGCTTTTTTCATTCATATAATAAAATAACTATTTTTCTTTTATTGTAACTTTTATTTAATCATTTTAAATGAATACAAAATGACACTGGTTGCATTAATTACTGTTTACTTAATCAATAGTTTATAGTTGGACATTGACATTGTATCCTGTTTTTAAATATTCTAATAAAAAATGAACAGTTTTTTAGTCTCTTCGGTGGATAATTAGGAAAGATATTTAGAATTAGAATTACTGATTGTGAGCATTTTAAGCCTCATTATTGCAAATTACTTTTCCAAGGGTGATGCCAATTTACTCTCTTTTTAACAATACTTGTCTTTAACAGACAAGCTTCATTTAAAATTTTTGTGTTACATACTAGACCTTTGTTTAATATCCTTTACTTTGATGATAATGAGGTTGAGCATGAAGAATTTTCATGTGTTTTTAAAGTGTTTATAATTCTATCATTTGTGAATTGTCTTATTATATCCTTTGCTACTATTCTGCTCATAGAATTTTTAATATCAATTCATATGGGGGCAATTACAGAGTGATGATACTATATTTTATATTTTTTTGAGAATTTCTTTTCCAGTATTTGTGTGATGGGTCTTACAATCAATGAATCGCACAGGGGTCATAGGCTATCGTACGACTTTCCTGCTTCTCTTTTGCTTTCCTAGTTCACAGGTGAGCAAAGAATCAAAAGAATGTTCCAGTTTGGCTAGTGTACTGCAAGCATCGGATATACCATGATTAGGTGAAATTTCCTTGAGTGGATGATGTTGCGGAACTTGGAAAATGTGAGAAGGCTAATAATGGCAGTGAACTACGGCATGAAGTCATTTCCACAACCAATTAACCCTAAATTTAGAAGGGATATGATGAATGTCTCCAGCATTCATAACTCAGATTTCTCTGTTTTGTAATTGCTTAGTGAAGTTCAGGGATTTGCACACAGCCAGTCACATAAAAGTAAGTGACCACTCTCAGTCTCTTGCTCATGATGTTGGACAAGAGGCTTCCAAAGCAGGGCTTCTAGAAACATTAAAAGACACAGAGTATCTTGTGAAATGGAAGTTCCCACAACTATCCTGTCTTCTGAGTCTTTCCAAGGTGCTTGTCTAATGGGAAAGTCAAGCACACAACTGCTTATAATGCAGTGACAAGTCCAGATAAAGAGATGTCCATCTATGCAGGAATTTGGGCAGCACTTGCACCCTCATAGGATTTCTGAAGTTCACAAGGAATGTAGCCTGGAGAAATCTTAACAAACTATCTTAAAATATAGCCTCTCTCTCATTTTCATATTTTGAATTTTTAAAAATTAAATTTAGTAAGTATTTATTACTAAGTATCCTGCTGTATTAGAAAGAGGTGGCCTTGATGTCATACAGGCGATGATAGGAACTCTGGTTTTGTAATTGCTTAGTGAAGTTCAGGGATTTGCACACAGCCAGTCACATAACTGTAAGTGACCACTCTCAGTCTCTTGCTCTTGATGTTGGACAAGAGGCTTCCAAAGCTGGTGTATTTTCCTTCTCCCCATCACAGCCTACTCGGAGGCCTACATCACAAACCTCTGTTTGTAGTGTATGTTTAGCTAAGGTTGGTGGATTTCAAATTTTACATTAGAATAGTATGTTATTTATTTTAAAGCCTGAAATTGATTTGAAAACACTCTCTTGAGCTAATATCTATGATTTGAATGACTTTCATTGATGGAGACGATACAGCCTGGTATTAGTGGTTGGAAGTGGAGCTGGTGTGTCCCACAGACCTCAAATCATTAGAATGTACATTTTTCAGCATCAAACTACCACCATGTTAAAACAAAATAAGTAGAACCATGGGTACCATAATGTCAGTCATTTTCTCTACAATTTCTGGGTCCCTAAAATAAATATAACATTTGTGGAATACAAAGAGATAGATGTTCACTGCTTGGTAGAGTTTATAAACCAAAAGAATCCATTTAGAGAAACTATGTACTATACACTAAATCCTGTAAACTCATGCACATAGTAAAAAAACCAGTGTGAAATAGAGACAATAAAGCATCATATACATGTTTTTTAAAATTTTCAAGTCTTTTGCATAACTAAAAACTGCCAGCAGAAAGATACTACATTTGCTTAGCTAGATTTCATGCCAGAGCACAAATAATTATGGATTTCAAATAGAGTGCCTGACAATTACTATTGGCTTTAAGGGAGTCAGAGGTCTGGTAGTTACACTTACTCTGATTAACCCCTGGCAGTTGAAAACTAGACAGAAACTTAAATCATGATTTTTCTGTCATTTCCCTACTAATAATTTCTCAAGACCTTTGGCTTTTAATAGTGTAAATAGCTATATTAAAATTGTGTGGGAGTTCATTTTGAATTGATAAAAGCTATATAAATGAAAGTAATTGTAATTAATGACTAGAAACCCTGAAGATTGCTCTTGTTGGGCAAGAATTTTTAAGTACTTTCTGCATTCAGTATTCTGAGAGGCACCGTCTGAACTAAGCAGATACCCACAGGAATAAAGACAAGTTGATACTGTGTTCAGAGAATTACTAAGTGAAGAGAGGTGTTAAATTTCTGTGTGCATGCCTGTTTGTTTATGTGAGAACCGTTACAAAGATCTGTTGAAAATTTACACCAATATCTACTCTTCTGATGTGTTTTGCTTTTCAGAGTGGAGGTACCTATTGTTGGCAATCAAAAGAGTGTGAAAGATACCAGGAATATGAAATACAAGGCTTCCGAATGAAAATCCAACTTAGAATTCAGTTCATACTACTAAAGATAAAAAAATCTAGGAAAACAGAAATGTTAGGAATTATAGACTTTTAAAATTGGAGGGAAATTCAACACCATGCTAAGCTACCCCTTCACATGCCTAAACCATCTCTTGCATACTGAAATTCAACTATGTTTTAAAAGATCTCCAATTATTTATATGAAACAAATTTATTGTGTTAGTAAATGATAAAGCACAACCTTAAAGGAATGTACAATGTGTTTTAAATTCTTGCTTTAATAATGTCAACATATTTCATGAACATTAGAAGAATTTTTCTTAGAGATTTCAGTGTAAGATATGAGTCTATGGTACTGATTTTGTTGTGTCTTTGTAGCTGAGAGCAAAATTGTCTTCTTGTAACAGTTAATAGGGTAACATAACTATTTCAATTATTCCCTTAATTGGAAAGGAGAAAGCAAAGTTTCTATTTGAAATATAATTTAGTCAAATGATAGAATGATTTATAGCTAGACTTAGAGTAATTTTAAAAATGAGATTAGAGCTTCCTGCATTCTTCGTGAAGTATGCCTTCTCATATGGGACTATATTTTATTTACCCAAATCACAATTGTTTGAGTATATACGAAATAGTAGATACTGTGGGAAATGGAAAGAAAAGAAACGTTAAGTAGGATTGATCTTACAAGTTCTCCTGATGATGGTAAATACTAGGGATTTGTCACTGTAGTCTTACATTTATTTGACCCTCCCCCAGATAGAGGCATATTAGAAATACACACAATTGAAGAAAAGGGAACCAAATAAATCAGGTAGAGAGGAAAATAAGGATCAAAGGTCACAGCCATAAAAATGAGTATAGTAGTGCTCTAGAGATTTGCTTGAGGAAAACTGTGTGTCAAAGAGAAATGATGAATTAGAATGCTCACATGGACATAAAAGTAAAAATATACCAATTCTTGAGGAAAATCACAAGTGCTTGTACTTGAGCCACCAAATTATATCCAATAATATGTTCCAATCCATAGCATGCCATGGTTTAGATCATCTAAAATGTTCTCAGAGGTCTAGTGTTCAGAAGTGGGGCTTTGGAAAGGTGGTTGATCATGGGGCCACTCCGTATCAGTGGCTTAAGCCACTGGTTCCATGGCTAGTCTTCTGGCCTGGTCAGAGGCTGGTCACAGGGGCCTTGACCTGTAAGGGTGTATTCTTGATGTGGACTCCTTCTTTCTCCTGTCTCTGCTTCCTCATGCCAGCTTTCCTCTTCCAGGGCCTTCCATTCTGCAGTTTCTGCCTTGGAACTGATCATGGACTGAATCCATTAAAACTGTGAACCAAAATAAGCCTTTCTTCCTTTGAGTATTGTGTTCTAGTGATGAGAAAGGATTAATACAGTATCCTTATAAGTAACAAATTTAATTTTGAAT